CACAATTAAACAATGAAAAAAAAAGGAGAGAAAGAAGGATGGAGGGAGAGAGAAGAACCAATATCAAATTCTTGAGGTGTCACACCACATCACAGCCAAGTTTGCCCCCATATGTGCAGGAAATTTGGGAGTTCAGTCCTGGCACAGTGAGATACCAAAGTTTATTTATTTGAAAAGCAATAATGGAAAGAACTTTTGCAGGCTATTTGAAGCTGATGGCCAGAGACTCTTTCATGAGCAAAGAGGGACACCCAGCCCTACCCAACACTGACCTGGTTACCCAGGAGGGAAAGGAGAAATTCTAACGTGGAAAAGATTCAAGGTTTGGGACAATATAACTGGCTGATTGTAGCACAAAAAGAAATTAGGATAAGTGTTCAAAGTCATTCTATGTGATATCAATCAACTTCCAATTCAGCCCTGGAGGAAACTTATGGCTCCTGGGAGAGGTGTAACCTGGAGAAATTGAATCAATAAATAGAAAAGTTACAATATTATCAGTATGATAAGAGACTGTGAGTATAAGCTACACGCCCCTCCCCTCCCCTCCCACTCCCACCTTCCCCGCCCCTCCCCCCACCCCAGTTTGAGACTTAATATAGGAACAATTTTGCTTTAGGAAAAGACCAGGTTCTTCATGGTGATGCTGGGAGTGCCTAGTCAATACTGATGACAATGAGGGGACGGACATGACAACATGTCAACAGTCCTGCATGACAACAAAGTCAACAATGGCATCAAGGCAATGGCACACCTTTAGGAATCATGACTTAAGAGATGAGAGCCGGGGGGTCTCCCTGGTGGCACAGGGGTTAAAGACAGCACTATCTAGCTATTGCCAGCCACTGCAGCATGAGTTCGATTCGCCAGACTTCCAGGGAGGTGACCCACATGGCACAGCAGACCTCTCCTGACTCCCCTGCTGCTCCCCTCAGCAGTGTATTTCAGTCAATCTGCCTGCTCTGTTCCTCACTCTGTCTCTGGTAAATCCTCTCACTCCCCACACCTCTGGCTGTACCCCAGGTCTTGTATGCATAAATAAATAAAATCTTTAAAAAAAAGAGAGAGAGAGAGAGAGAGAGAGATAGGAGCCAAAGTTTACTTGGGAAGGAAATAGGACATCAATAAGGAGACTTTGGAGCCAAGTGCAGCAATGGGCAACAGTAATTAGGATCAGAGATAAAACTAGACAAAAGAATGCCAGAGCAAGACAATGAGCAATGGTGGTCACAGAGGCCACCAACAATGGAGCAAAGAGAAGCCAGCACTGAAAAGCAGCAGGGAGAGAGCTGACCATGTAAGCCAGTCTGGATCTTTCATGGGAAACAGCCAGAGAACTAACAATCCAAAAGTTCTCCTGGAAGAGACTTAAGGCAAATACCATTTTTGTTTGCATTTTATTGCTTTATACCCCTTCTTTGATTGGTCCACTAACCGAAGTGGTGTGGCCTACATCTGTGAAAGTCCATATGAAAGATGGCTGGGGCCAGAGAATGGGCATGATCTTGGTTCTGCCAAGCCACACACCATTCCCCTAATGCCGGTTCAGTTCTAATTATCCACAGAGGCCCAGATCTGCTCAGTAGTAGACACTCAATGAGACTAAAGCATTCTGGATTCCATCAGTCTCACAACCAGTACAGTTCAAAAGTAACCCACAGCCAGACCAAATCTGAATACCTGGGGGTAGATGGAGGGTGAGGCTAATCCTGAGCCAACCTCAAGGGATGATTCCCCTCCAACCTCACATCTCCGTGAGTTTTAGAGCAACCACATATTTAAACCAAAGCATTTTTTAAAAAACATTATTTATATTTTCTTTGTTCCTTACTGTGTATCAGTGCTGCCCTCTCAATTCTCATGGGCAGAATTTTAGTGCATTTTAGGCAATGTCTTCCATAGCCAAACAACATAAATCATGATGTGGAAGCCATTTTCCCATTTTCTTCACCCTTCACTTCTGTGGTAATAACACTAATCGCAGTCAATATGTTACTGTGTGGGAGGCACTGTGCCAAGCACTGTTCATAAATTATTATGCATTATTATATTTGATCATCTGATGTACTCCTTCGGGTAACACTATGTTAATCTCTTCTTTACAACTGAGGAAAATATAGAGTGGAGATGTTACCTTCTGAAGGTCACGTAGTTAAAAAAAGATGGAGCCTGGGCCTCCCCTGGTGGCACAGTGTTTGAGCGCTGGGCTGCGAAGCTGCCAGCAACCTCTGCAGTGCCAGTTTGATCCCCGGCCGCAGGCCAGGGTCCCACATGGCGCGACAGACCTCTCCTGCCACACCCGCTGCTCCCCTCAGCAGTGTATTTCGTCAGTCTGCCTGTTCTGTTCCCTGCTCTGGCTCTGGTGAATTCTCTCACCCACCCTCCCACCCCCTACCCCCGCACTTCTGATTGTACCCAGTGCTTATATAAATAAATAAACCTTAAAAAAAAAAAAAAAGACGGAGCCAAGTCAGGTATCTAACCTGTCCTCCAGAGCTCCCCTGCCACCTTCATTTGACTAAAAAGGCAGCAAGGGATTGGGATCTTTTGGTCTGTTCTTGTAGGGAGAATTGAATGTGGTATGTGTGTAAAGAGGAAGCAGTTTTTAAATAGATATCATCTGATGCAAAATAATGCAAATTTTGCTGACCACATAAAACTTAGAACTGAAGAATTTTGACCCTTATACCCTCAGATCTGCACAGAGTATATTCCAAGTTCACTTTCCATTAGTCACCCCCTGTGACCAACATTTGCTTGCTGAATAATGTTGGGAGCATTCCAAGACTGTTTCCAAATTCCCCTGCCAACATGTGATTTTAAATTATAACTCTATTTGATTGACTTCACTTATTTTCATCTTTTTCAGAGTTTGAGATCCACCTCTGCCAATTACTTTAAATGACAGATGGGTTATCACTTCAGTTCTAAAATGAGCTAGAGGCCACCAGGGACTGTCCCCTGCTTTAAGCACTCACTTTACAGGCAGTGATTTTTCCAGGGAGTTAGTCCACTGAATGGGACAGGGTGGATATAGGCTTCAGGGTTAAAGGAGGCAAAAAAAATGAGCAAGCAAGACACCTCTGCATATTATAGTAACCAAATGGCTGGCTCCACTGCAATCCTCTGCATTTGAATGCCCAGACAGACTGTTCCTACCAGTTACTGAAGCCAGTTACATAAGGAAATTTTTTAAAAATTAAAACTACCATAATGAGGTTTTCTTCTCCAGATGCACTGCCTCTTTGCATCCTTACAAGTCACAGATGATCCTTTTAGGAATAAAGTCATTTTATTCCCACCCTAATATATGTGTACATGGGATTGGTCATCTCCAGTTACTATCATCATTAGCATCACAATAGCAATAATTCATCCCTGTGAAAGATACATGACTAAAGGAATTTTTTATCCGGCATTATTCAATCTGGTGTACTTGAAGGGCAGAGAGGATCTTACTGTTTCCCTCAGTAACAAATTGCTAGTTTCAAGGAGGCAGTGTTTTTAAAAGATTTTATATTTATGTTATTTCCTCTTAAACCAATGATGATAAAGCATTAAATCGAGTATATTGATAGTAGCTGCCTAAAGATGTGTTGAGAAGGAATATGATGCTTTGTAGGAGGCTTAGGAGGAAAAAGAAATCCAACTTTATTATGGATAATGGGGTAAGACTGGGGAGAGAAATAGAAACAGATACTTAATGTCTTATTTAAGTGCTGTTGTTCATTCTAACCTGTTTTATCTAAAAAGTAATGGCTCACTCCTGTCTGCCAAAAAATAATAATAATAAACTAAAGCTACTAGGACAAGCCCATCAACAGTCACAGGATTTCTCTAGTAGAGGGACGAAGTTAAATTTTCATCACTTAGGCAAACAGAACTCAGAATTATCCTGGGAAGAATTGTCAGGTGTCCAGGGTCTAATTTGCACCAATTGGAAATGTCTGCAGTTTCATTCCAACTACCCCATGAGTGCATCCACAAGATTTCATAGATAGTTATTAATTTCAAAGATAGAGTTCTGTAGGGGTTTACACAGAGATCAGGACAGGGTGAAACTATTTAAATAAACCAGAGGCATCAGAAGGCAAAATGAAAGTAAATATGACTGTGCAAAAAGGTAACCGCAGTAAGCCACCCCAAAAGACAAGGAAAATACAAATGATCCAAACTAAACGGCTTTGTAGAAGGGAGGGAAACAGAAGGAAAAAAACAGACTCTTTGTGTTTGATTCTGGAAATATATTATGCTCACACTGAGAGCTGGCGGGCAGATGGTTGAAGCTCATACAAGGAATATTAAATCTATTTGGAACCCTCTTGCCCTCCTGATACAACACAGCTCATGCCTAGAGGGCAAGACAATCAACACACAAATGCCTGCAAATCACTCAGATTCTGTCACTAACTGGGAAATCTCCACTAGGGAGCACAGGGAGCTTGAGTGGTTTACCCCTTCTCTCATATCAGATCAGATGGAGGGTCAGAAAGAAGGCGATATTTCTCTCTCTCTCTCTCTCTCTCTCTCTCTCTCTCTCTCTCTCTCTCTTACACACACACAGACACACACACACGCACAAACACACATGTATGTACACACATGGATGCATGTGCACACACACACATGCATGCACGCACACACACACATACGCATGGTGCATGCCTTTGTATTCAGTCTGTTCTCAGCTCTTATAGTCAGAAATGAAATTAAGTAGCATGGAAACACCCAACGTAGAGCCTGTTCATGGGACCCAATGTGTTCTTGCAATCTCTTCAGAGGCATACCTTGATAAACAAAATTTGGAAAAACAAATATTTAGATTAAGAAATTCCCCAATTTCCTTTGAGTGTTTACACAAACTAAAATTTCAAAAATAGTGTTAATTAAAGGTTCCTACCAAACATAAAAGACACACACACACACACACACACACACACACACACACATCATTTTAAAAGGCCAGGAGAAAACAAAGAATCAACAAACTTTTACCTTGCCTAGTTGTTCTTCACTTTGTGTATTTTCTGAGAGGTAATCTTTCAACAACACAGTGACAGTCACACACATTCCACTGATTCTGCCTGGAAAAAGCAAAACACGAGAAAGAAAAACCTATTCCAAAATAATAGAAGATGCCATGTCACTCCACTTAACCTTAGCATCTAAATCTCAGTGGCTTGCAAATATTTGGACAACAACATTTTTTTAAACCAATTGAGCCTGAGTCTTTTTTTTTTTCATAGACAAAATGGGGTGTAGGTCAGAGTTATGGGGGGGGGCGGTGAGAGGATTCACTGGAGACAGAGTGGGGAACAGAATTTACAGATCTCTTGAAATATACTGCTAAGGGGAGCAGCAGGCAAGAGAGGAGAGGTCTGCTGCGCCCTATGTGGGTTAGCTCCCTGGCTGGGGATCGAACTCAGGCCAAAGGGTAATAGCACTCACACTTAACCCCTAGGCCACCAGGGAGACCCCTGAGACAGCAAGATGTTTTACATTCTGGCTACTCAATATGTTGGTCACAAACCAATTCCATTGGAATCGCCCAGAAGCTAATTAGAAATACAGAATCCCAGGCCCCGCCAAATCAGCAACCCAGCTCCTCAGGGGATCTATTTGCTTAGAAAAGTACTGCTCTAGAGCAAGAATCTCCACCGCACTAAGTGTGCAACTCTGGGCACACACTAATGATCTATTAGGCTCTGAAAAGAAATTGCACAACTGCAATTTTCTATTTTATATTAGTATTTATCTGATCTTTATTTGTATTTGTTATTATCTCCAAAAAGTAATTCAGTTTTTCTACTATTTGACACTGAGTTTCTCAGTGGTATATGTACAAACTTACAAATATAGTTATGTTGGAAGTGTGAACTCAACATCTTTTTAACTGGTGAAGATGTCTATTTAACAATTGGAGTGATACTTCTAGCTCAGTACTAGTCTAAGTAGGCCACCTTTCCACTGGAAAATTCCACTATCACATGGTGACTAATGTCTCCAGCCTCCTCCCAGTGTCTTCATAAATACGTGCAGTGGCATACCGCAGTGCTTCCCTGGGACCACACCTCACCATTTGTCCTGAGGTGCTAGCCTGGCATGCACTTCAGCTAGTCAGCACAGGATGGGGCCACAGATACCACATGACCTCTTCTGCAGGAAAATTTCTCCAAACTTCACTTTACACCTACACCATATAGTATTGGTGTGTTCTGCAGGTCCTTTGCAAAAACCTAAACATATAAACAGATAATTATAGACATATAGGCCCATATAAACAGATAATTATCCTCCAATAAAATAATTAACTCATTTCATTTGTAGCTGGTAGAATGAAGGAAAAGTGCAGGAAAGTCAGGGAAAGGGCCTCTGAGGAGGTAACATTTGAATGGCGACATAAGGGCCTCCCTGGTGGCATAAGGGATTAAGTGGCAGCACTGTGAAGATATCCACAGCCACAACAGCACAGCATGAGTTCAATCCCCGGCCAGGGAGCTAACCCACATGACACAGCAAACCTCTCCTGTTTGCCCTGCTGCTTCCTCACAGTGTATTTCAGTCAGTCAGTGCATCTGTTCTGCTCCCCACTCTATCTGTGGTGAATCCTCTCACCCTTTACATCTCTGGCCTGTACCCCAGTTCTTGTATGCATAAATAAATCTTTTTTAAAAAAATGAATGGCGACCTAAGGACTGAACATGACTTAGAAGCATTCAGGGCAGAAGTAACAAATGCAAATACTTACATGAAAAAGGAATTTTGAACAGATTAGATTCTGAATAATGGCTGGTGTGGCTGAATGTTAATCACTTAATCACTTAAGTCCCAGCTTGAACTCATTTAAAAGCAGACCCTGAGTCAAGGGCTGGATGCAAAAGTTAATTTGGGAAGTAATCAAGTGATGGAGATTGAAGAGAAAGTAGCAAAGCACGTCAATAAGAGAGTCACTAATGAACATTGTGGGCAAGGAGGGCTCAATCCTGGAGGGGGTCCCACAGGAGGTTGCATGAAACTTGCCTCGACATTTTCCCACTGAGAGCCTGGGAAGCTGGGCACATCTCTGCCTATTCTCAGGCCTCATTGTTTCAGAGAAGTTTCTTCAGTGTTAACTCTCACCATGTACACAAGATAAGGAGGGGCCATTGGCCCAAGAATGTCCTTACCAAATACAGGTAGATGCCCAAATACAGGTAAATAAGCCATCATCTCAGCTTTTCCAGAAATTTCCTGGTTTTCTGCTGAAAGACTAGCATCTTGAGAGCTCACTGAAATAAATGGAGATGATTGATCTCTGACTTAGGAACAATCCACAGATGACCTATGGAGTCAGTCAAGGGGATACACTCAGCAGTGTATTTCAGTCAGTCAGTGCATCTGTTCTGCCCCCCTACTCTATCTGTGGTGGGGACTGACAGCATCTGCAAAATGTCATCAAAATAGTCCACAACTGTACCCTCTCTAGATCCTGAAATATCAATGACACTTTGTTACCAAGAAGAGAGAATCAATGACATGCCTTTGCAACACTGAAGAATATTATGAAACTGGACATTAATATTTGCAGAATGAACATTAATAACACAACTGACTAGTTTCCTTTCACTGCTGTGGCTTAAAACAAAACAAACTCACAATCTTATCAGTCTGTAGGTAAAAGTCTAAAATGGTTGGCAGGGCTGATTCTTCCAAAGGCTCTTCCAGAATTCATTGCCTTACGTTTTCCAGCTTCTAGAGGCCACCTGCATTCTTTGGCTTGTAGCAGTATCACTCCAGTTTCTGTTTCTGCTATCAAATGTTCCCTGACTCTGACCCTCCCACTCCCCTCTTTGTGATTACATCTGCCCAACCTAAATATCAGGGTAATCTCTCCATTTTAAATTAATTACTAGTCTACCTACCACGATGTCCTCAATTCTAAGGCACATTTAGCTGTATGATGTGCATCAACCTAATAGCATCTTTGAGGGGTAAGAACCACTATCACATTAAATGTGTATTTTAATACATATCCTGATTTCAGAAATGTGAGGCACTACATCTCAAAATAGAGCACCTATGAAAAGACAGCAAGCAGCACAGAGCTGAGATTTTATAGGTATTCATTCAGGGTCTACATTCAGAGCCTGAGGTGAAAAGTGAATATATTAACTCAATAAATATTTTTTGAATCTCTACCAGGTACTAGACCCAGAAAATACAGCAATAAATGACACAGCCTCTGCCCACTGGAGCTTAGTCTGGGGGAGCAGCAGATAGTAACTGTTCCCCAGGGAGAGAGGCATGCAGTGAGAAGAAGGAAGCAGAGGGAGGCAGGGCGCTGAGGGAGAACCCACTTCAGGTGGAGCAGGTCACAAAAGGTAAGTAAGGAGCTAATGTTTAAGCAGAGACCTCAGTGAAAACATGGAGAATGGGATTTTAGTCAAAGGGTAGCCCAAGCAAAAGACTATGAGGCAAAAAGAAGTTTGACACAGAAACTTTCATCCATTCCCCAGGAAAGATATTTTCCAACTGCCACTCTCCCCACTTTGAAGCATAATGCCACTCAGGTAACATTAACTACAAACTTTATAGAAAATTCCACTATTTTCCACTTTATCTTATGGTTGGATGAAAGACTGAGTGGGATAAGAAGAGGTACCAAGTTGGATATGAGAGAATTACAGCAAAAATGTCTATTTTATCTTTCATTTAAACTTGTGTTAAATGCCTAGCCTGGGGGTAGCAAGAGACAGACCCAAAGAAAATGTAGTATTCTCATCTTCCTACTTTCTGCTCCCTTCAAAAATGGTTTAGTTAATTTAAATATTCAGTTAGGCATTTCTTTCTTTTTCTTCTGTCCAATACACTTTCAACACTCCAAAACTTCTAGCACCTCCATCCTAGTACACACTACCTCAACCCTCCTGAAGCATTGTCCCTTTATCAGAAAGTCAAAACTGATAAGTATGTGAGTGTGTCCTAGGGAAAACAAGACACAGGCCCATCCCCAGACCAGAGATGAGCCAACCGAGTCTTGTACCTAGTGTGGGTGAAGGGCCATGACCAATGTCTGCTTGATTAAGGCCCATTAAAGAAACTAAGTATAAATCTTAGTCCTTCTCAAGTCCTCTGGAAAATCCCCAACATCATTATGACAGCTACAAATTTCCAATTATTAATGGTTCTTAGTCTAACAGACTGCAGCAGGGACTTGACTGGTTAGAAAAATGCTAGCGAGAACCAGTTACCCAAACAAAAGGGCAAACACACAAGCACAAAGCCTTTCCCTGGAGCAGTTCAAAGATTCAGAATCTTGTAGCTTTAGAGGAAAATCTGGAGGTGACTCATTAGTGGTAAGAAGGTAAAATCTCAAGCTGTGGCTCATGACTAAATCATGTTAACAGAATGCTTTCCCATTAACCTTGAATTATACATCTCAACAATGTTAGCGCACATGAAATTTGCAATCAAGATAGTTATGACTAATATAAATACTATTCAGAGTTGTATATGAAATAGAAATTATGATTTTTGAATATCATATTTTTCATGAAAATATTTTAAAAATTACTCACATGCATCTGAAGGTTATCTTAAAAATAAATCATTATAAGACAAAAACAGAGAACACAGCAACTCAATTGCTGTGGATGTTTAACACATCCACTAGATTTTCAGAAGCAAATCTATATGATTCCACTATTGTTAGAACAGTGCTTTTAAAGTCATATTTTTCCACATTTAAAGTGTCTTGACCCAAGTTCTACAGGAAACAGTGAGGGCCTGAAAATTTATAATTGCATTTGATCTGAATATAAAAACAACCAAGAAAGCAGGAAATTTTCAATAACAGCCTGGATTAAACTTTATACTTTCCAGACTGTAAATCATAGGTTTGTTGGACACCCTTACAGGTTCAATGATGCAAGCAATTTTATTGCAGGCTGGTGTGATGCCCACTGAAATGAAATGTGAAACAATACCTACAGGGAGATGTTCAGCCTGATCCATGAAGATTTGACCATAAGCCACTCATTAGTGTTAATGGAGCATGGTTCTCAAATTCCAGACACCTTGGAATTTTACTGTCTGTAGAAAAAGTACATCAAAGAAGCAGCACCAGCTATGATCTGGGGAAACTGAAGATTTAAAAAAGTGTTTTCGTCTAGTAGACTTGAAGGGAAATAAAGTCTCAAGCTCTACTTTCACTAAAATGTCAACACAGAATTTTTTTTTAGAAACTCATCTGGAAATAATCACCCAAAATGACCTTCCATTGTTGCTCTTCTGTCTCCTACCAATGTACCTGAATTGCCTGAACCGATACGGAGGACAGCAATTCTGCCTTACACTTTCTTAAAATTAAGCTTTGTGTTTGGTCTTAAATGATGCTCAGGAAATAATTCTTGACAAGAAAGAAAAAGGGAAAGGGAGAAGAAAAGGATATAAAAATATGCTCAAATGTACTCGAATAGGCAATATAACTATAGATTAAAAACAGACACCCAAAGAAGGAAAAACATGGAACAGTTTTTCTCCTGTAATTTCAAGTAAGAACATCCAACACCCCTAATTAAACCCAGCTTAGAAGATGCCATTTTGTCATTCAAAACTGGCCATTCCTTGGCTTAGATGAAGCACTTCTTGACCTTCTTGTCACTCATTCAACTGAGGTTAGTGTAATAGTTTAACCTTAATGGTATTTACCCTATTCTTGCTCAGCTAACAGTAAGACATGACAAGTGGATTTTTATTTAAGTGTCCTCTTGGATGGCATCCTAGTGAGATAAGATAGCACAAAAGAAATAACGTCTGCAGGCACACATTACTAATGAGGGGTGAAGTTAATTGGTGTGTGGCAACGCAGTGACTCCTTGTTGGCAAAACCACACAGTGTCACTAACAAAATTCTAACCTCCAGTAATGCTTTGTAATGCCTGCTGTATTATAGAAGTTCATACCTTGCTGTCAGAGTTGACAATTATCCTTGAGAAAGATTGATATTCCTAAATTAGGTAGTCAACAATATTAATTTACTTAAGGACTTTTCCAAACACTGGCATCTTTTTTCCTATTCTAGTAATAGCTACATGTGCCAAGTATGATAATAAATGTTTCATGCACATTACCTGCTAAAAGCAAACCTGAAGGGTAAAATTTCCTTCATCATTATATATATGAGGAAGTTCAGAGAGGTTAAATAACTTATGAAAGATCACACAGCTCTTCAGTGGCAGAGTAAGGAACTGTAACCGCTTAGATTCTAAAGCCCCTTAGTGGAAACACAACTCATGACCTGAAAACTCATCCCACATTCATGAAGTAAGACCTGAATTCTTTTTTTCATCATTTTTGGAACCAATTACCATGTCTCTCTTATTCTTGTAGGAAAGAAAAGGCTTATAAATGAAAAAACAAACAAAAACCTCATGAGAGTAGCAACCAGAGACAACCCTGTTAACATTTTTTATAACTTCCTTCTTCCTGAAAAATATTGGATGATTTCGCTTATAGGCAAAATATAGGGAGACCGAACAAAGGGTTAGAAAAAAAGACAAAACTTGCAGGAAAATTATAGATCTGAGTCATACAGTAGGGGAGGGGGAGGGAGATGGGTCAAAATAAGGGAGGGAAGAGCACAAGGGACTGTGGTGATGAATCCCCGGGTGCTGGGGGGGGGGGGAAGCAAGGGGGCCACACCTGAGGGGAGAAATTAAATATTTTAAAAAATGAACAAAGATGTAAGGATATAAAAAAGTTTAATTTAAAAAAATTTCCTCCTCCCTATACAGTTTTGATTAGCCAATTGTACCATAAATATAGCTTTTGAATCTCAAGGAGATTTGAGGAAGGTAAGTGTACAGGACTATATTTTAAACTTAATATATTAAAATAACAAACATTAATCAGAATTTCTTAGGAAGACTGATAACCAGCCTTTCATATTTCAGAATATGGCTTAATGCATTGGTTTAAATGCATTGATTAAAGAAGTTGATTTAAAGCAACTTAAATTTATTCTAATATCACTATTACAGATTTCCTTCAACTTTCCTGAGCTGCATAACTTTATAAATTTCCCTAATGACAGGAAAACGCCAGAGAGGACTGTACAACTCTGCAAAGTCGGGAGTAAGCAAATAGGAAATTAAAAATTGTGAGCAAAAGGACATTAAACAGATTTTCTTCAGTTGTTTTAATTAGTCTAACTGAATTTTAATTATCACAATTCTTCACCAGACACTAGTAAATGTGCCGAAACCATCTTGTAAAATTAACAAAGCTTTAACACTACAAGACCTTGTTTAATCTTACTCTGTTCTGCAATTGCAAAACAAAAAGTGATTTAAGCAAGTCGGTAGAGCATTTGAAGCAAGCAAGTTTTCTGTTTTTGCATATTCATTCAACTGTAATCTCCATGAAGGCAAGGATGCTTCGATCTTATTTTTTGTTGTAGACATGGTATCTAGCATTGTTCATTAGTAAGTGAATGCATGTAAAAAAAAAGATTGCATCTTTTCTCTCCTCAAAAGGCTATGAAGTTCAGAAAGGCAAGGATTATAACCTTTATTCCTTCTTCATACAAAAAAATTTAGCAAAGGTTTGAGTAACTTGGGATTAGTCAATAGATACTCCTTAGCAAATACATTCTCTAGCAAGGAACAGCTTTTGCCATCCCCCAATGCAACAGAAAGACAGTCTATACTCTAAACCCATAATCACCTCTGTGATCCCAGGAGGTGTAAAATCTGCTGTTTCTCTCCATCACTCCCACAGGAAAAAGGAAAAATAAAATTTAAAGGCATCATTGTCCAGTGACCGTCAGAGAAACGTCTTGTTATTCTCTGTGGTGATAGAGTCATGAGGTTAACACCAAAGACTATAAATGCAACTGGAGTCAAGGCCTGCCCCTGCAAATCCATCCAGGTATTTCTACTTGCCTCTTCTTACATATGCTTGTGTAGGTTTCTCTTTGTCATAGGGATGATTTCATTCAAAAACATGAAAGTTTGGGGTGATGAGGTAGAAAACGGCCCCATCTAGGAAGATTTTCTGATCCTAACATGGAACATCTGAACCCTGATTCATTTCATTCCCGCTCATTGACCTCTATCAGACTAGATCCTAGATTCTGTTACCTGCCTGACTCCTTTATTTTATCATCACTAGATAATTTGATATGTTCACTTAACCTGACCCATTGCTCAACTGAGTTTGTTACTAGATTTGCTCTGATAGGCATAATAGTTTCTGACACCATCGTTACTCCTACTCCCTAACATCTCCCTAACCTACTACTTCCAGCTGTTGTTGTCGCCTTTCTGCCCACTTACCTGCAACCATCTGCCTCCCACAACAACCACGATCACAAACATTAGATTCTTCACAGAAGTTAACTGACATCCCTGAAAATGAAAGGCTTTGAATTATATGAAGGTCACACACACACACACACACACACACACACACGCGCGCGCATATTTTAACAAAATTTATACAATACAAAAAATAGAATATAAAGCCCAAGGAATAACCCCTAAATGTGCATTCTTCTAAGTTACTTCCTATTAAGCATTTTACCTAAGGCAGAAGAATTTTGTTTCATCTATGTTATTCATCAACTTGGATAGAGTCACCAAGAAGAAACAATCGTGTATGAGCATATGATATAGTCGATATATACCTTTGAGCACTAATTGCAGAGTAAATCAACTGCCATGAACTGAAGTATGAGGGCTCTGTTGCAATTCCATACCTATTTGTTCCTTGGTTGAATGCTTTGACTCCAAAAACATTTCTATTTAGAATGTTTATAGGTGACATATAAAGACTATAAAGAGAGACATAAGAATGGTTTGGAATAATGGTTCAAATCAAGTTTTGCTTTACACCAATCAATTTTTTCAATCTACTAGGCTTCTTTCCTAACAATGCAGATTTGATTCTTTCGATAACCTACCTGAATAAATTGCCTTAGTTTTTCTTTTTTGGCTTTGTTTTGTTGAGGTAACACTGGCTTACAGCACTGTATATAATTTAGAGGTAAAAGATCACACCAAACCAACCACCAAGTCACCCATAGTTCTCCACTGAAATCCATTTTGAATGGCCTTGGGCTTTGTTAAGTCATATGCCTTATGGCTTTCAAGCCTTAAATAACAATGGGTAACATCTGAGGTCAGACTAATCTCTACAGTACATACAACCAGATTTAAGGGAATTTCTCTATCCAAGTTTTGCATTTCACAAGCAAGTTGAATTTCACAATGTGTGAGTACCTATAAGTCTTTCTGAAGTCCAACATAACCAATCTTTTATTTCACCTCTGCATATTCACCTCCAATCCACTTAAAACCCTACTAGATAAATAACTAACTCCAAAAACAGAAGGGGAGACAGAAACATTATTAATAGATATACAGGTGTTACTCTTACTTGCTGGGAAGCAAAGAACAGTATTCAAGCTTTTATGTATAAATCAAGATGTCTAAGGACGTATGTGGAGAGGTATTATATACAATTACATGTACTGTATGTAACATTCAAGGAAAATAAGTGCCCTGCACCCCCCATTTAAAATCAATGTCTATTCCCCTTCAGGGAATCACTGCAGGATGTAAAATAAAAGCACAAAGCTGCACCATTTCCCCTTTTTTTTTTTTTTTTTCAGGAACTAAATTTGCATTATCCTTCTGCCATATGTTCAGGTAGCTTTCAATGGTACCTCATGCAGCTGTGTCATTGAATTCCCCAACCTTAATGAATAAACTAATTACAGTCTGAAATGAACTCTTGCAGACGAGCTATCTCCTGCCATAGATCAAGAAGAGAACTTTATTCCCACAACTAACTACTAATTTGCATTAGCTATAAAAAGTGCACCAGAGCATTGCTCCCTGCTCCAGCTGGGTGACCAGAGCTGCATCAGTAGGATACTATGCCATTGTTATTAATTCTTCACAGTTCAAGTTTGCAGCAGTAAATTTGCCACTGCCATAACAATTCTCAAGTACAAATGCATCTAGGAAGCTATTGATCTGCTTGAGCTAGATGACAGTGCTGCTATAATTGTTAGTTTCACTGCATTAAATTTCACAATTGAGCATTATTATTTATTTGGATCTTAGAGTTCTGTTTGTTTATAAATGGTTTCCAAAAAGAATTCAAAATAAAGTTTTGATCATTTGAAAGATTTTGAAGTAGTCAGTCACTTTCTCAAATACAAGAATAGGTGAATTGAAAACAAATCAAGAAAAAAGCTAGACAGAAGTAAACACTAGATATAAATTAACCTTCATTCACTAAATTCAACATCTATCTTCTACTCCCAAAGCCCAGATAGGGAGGCTGTTCTAATAGCTAATTGTAACACAGGATTGGGTTCCAACTATGTGGTTCTCAAATGAATGTAACCCTATAGTGGCCAGGTTGCCTTGTTAACTCTTTCTGACCAGTGACCAGTCACAACATTTCAAGAGACTGACTACAGAGTGCCCTGGGCTCTGTGACTTCATTCTCCCTCAACATATTTGCAAATATCTCCATTAGAATTGTAGAATTCCACAGTGAAAGACAGGACAACCTATTCTCAAATGAGTCAGAAGACTTGGACTGTAGTCCTAGTTTTATGCATGCTGGGTCTGAGACCGAGACTCAAACAGTTTTTGCTTCCTTTTCTACCAAGTGGAATATAATGAAGCTCCACTGAGAACATACATAGAAGTGATACTGTGCTTTTGAGGCTTCCATGAATTTAAAATACCAGCAGGATCATTTTTACTTGGCCCTTTTTACCTAGGTCAAACCTCCTATAGCTGATTCTATTCACAATATTTTCATAGCCTCTTATCCAGAACATTAAAAAATTATCATTACCATCATCAAATGTGATACTTAAAATATATTTCATATTTTATTTCAAGAGCTAAAGCATTTCCCCGCAGTATGCCCTATAACTCAAAAGCTCAGAGTGTAAGATAACTCAGGAGATCATAAAGTCCTTGTAGCAAATGGGATTAAATTAAGTTATCTTGATTATAAAGACCTTCACATTTTTCCTTAAAATGTTAGTTAGTAAAACCTAATAAGGATATCTAAATATTCCCTCCATTAGAAATAAATAATTCAATAATAAATCTAGAAATCAAGCACCCAAAAAATGTTGGAGTTGAAAGTAAGACCAGACTGAGTATCTTAACAGTGCTGTAATATCTCTATGGTATTATTTTTATTGCGGTAGCCATGGTTTACAACATGTATGTCACCACACCACTCCCAACACCAAAGCACCCGTAGTTTTCTACCACAGTCTATCGGGGTCCCTCCTCCCTTTTTTTCACCTTCCCCTACTTGCCCCTTTGGTAGCTGCAATTCTGAACCAGATTTCTAGGGTTTGTTTTGGTTTAGTTTTTCTGTTCCTTTGTTTTGTTTCTCTATATTCCACACATCAGTGAAATCATCTGGTATTTGTCTTTCCCCTTCTGATTTATTTCACTTAACATAACCCCTTCCAATACCTTCCATGTTGACAAAACTGGCAAGAGTTCATCTTTTTTACTCGCAAGAGTTCATCAAAGAGGAAATGCAAATGGCCAACAGGCATATGAAAAAATGTTCAATATCACTTGTAATCAGGGAAATGCAAGTCAAAACTACAATAAGATACCATCTTACACCGTGAGAACGGCACATACTAAAAAAATTAGCAACAACAAATGCTGGCGAGGATGTAGAGAAAAAGGCACTCTCCTGCACAGCTGGGGAAGTGCAAACTGGTCCAACCACTGTGGAAAGCTGTGTGGAGATTCCTCAGTCTGCTAAAGATGGAGCTTCCATATGATCCAGCAATTCCACTAGAGGTATTTACCCAAAGGACACAGAAACATTAATTCAAAGGGGCACAAGCACCCCTATATTTATAGCAGAACTATTTACAATAGCTAAGATATGGAAAAAACCCACATGCCCCAAAATAGATGACTGGATCAAGAAGATGTGGTACATATACACAATGGAATATTACTCAGCAATCAAAAAAGATAAACTCATGCCATTTGCAGCAACATGGATGGTACTGTTGCTCCAACACCAGGCAACATGGATGGAGCTGCTCAGTGAAATAAGCCAGAAAGAAAAAGGAAAATACCAGATGGTCTTACTCATAGCAGGAATTTAAAAAACCTAAATAAGGGACCAGGAAAAAAACTAATTGTAATGAAGTAAAAATCAAAATCAACAAACAACTATAAACCAGAGATACACTATGGGGGTGGGGGGGATGCAGTGGGGCGGGGAAGGGAGTAGGATCAAAACAAGGGTGGTGGGAATTGCATGGGGACTATAACCAAGATGAAAATGCATACATTGTGCAAAAATGAAAAATAATGTAAAAAATATATAAAATTAACAAAATTTTAAAAAAGAGTTTATCTTTTTTATATTTGAGTATCATTCTGTTGTGTACATATACCACATCTTTTTGGGATTACTATTGTAACAACTTCCATTCAAATAGGATGAATTGTTTGCAAAATAAATGTATTTGTTTCCTACTTGATGGCTATAATCTATCTGCATATTTTAATAGCATGTGGCAAAATAAAAGGGTGTTTGACTTTCAGAAAATACATTCATGTTATTAATAACATAAATCCAGATCTTTTCCTTCTACTCTTAAGCTTATACAACTTGTTTGCCTTCCCAGATGTGTAATACCCTGAAATACATATTCCATTTGTTTTCCAATTTTTCTCTAAGTTTATTTCGCCTCTAACAAAATAAAATTTACAAGCTAATGTAGCATGACTAAGACTCAGATGGCACTGGATTAAGCATTTGGTTAATGCGCCCAACACCATACTATGCAACATCTTTTTGCAGACCCTAGAAATACTCCAGGACTTACACACAGCCAAGAGCTGTTCTTCTACCCTATGTAATATCCATAAACCAGCAGAGTTCCCCTGATGATTTCAGACAATCTACTCTCTCCTTCCAAAAGAACAAAAAAGAGTTCAATATTCCTGCATGCAACATGAATGACCTAAGGAAGCACCATCTCTATCAGGAAGTTTGCAGTTTCCTTCTTTAAGTCTCCCAAGCTAGCATATCTCACCATTCTCTAATCTTGTTCTAAAAAAAAAAAGGGACTATAGTTAGAGTACCAGCAAGAAATAGATGGCATACTCATACTGGGCTGTTAGGAGACTGTTTGCAGAGGTTTGGGTAGGGCTTAAGGTTTAGGCAAACCAGTAAGAGATAGAAATATACACTGCTACTGTTATAGGGCAAGGAGAGAGCCACCCCAGACCCCGCAAACCTGCCTGCTCTAAATAGGTTCTGCCATCTGCGGCATCAACACAAAACACGTAAGACTTTAATGGGAAGGAATTTTAATA